AAATGTGAAAAATTAAACTTCAGAAAATCGTAGCGGATTTATTGGAAAGGCCTCGAAAATTGCACATGAATGGAACAATCATCTAGAAATTTTTAGCCGTCCTCAAGTAATAGAAAAGTCTCGGCAATATTTGTTTCTCGGAACAGATATTTTACGGAAAACAGTTGTTGGGTGCCCCTGAAAAATAGTTTCAAGTGTGTTGGGTACCATTTGAATAACGGACGCTAACTTAATCAGCTCAGGTCATCACGGCTTTTTATTTTTCTAGATTGTTATAATCCCAAGGTGCGAGATGAGTTATTGTGTAACTCTGGCATATTTTTTTTAGATGTAGATGAATGTGCTGACAACGTTCATGATTGTGACGAGAATGCAAACTGTACAAACATCCCGCAATCCTACCGATGTGCTTGCAACCCACCATATGTTGGAGATGGACAGAAGTGCATAAATGCACGTGAGTGTTTTAATATTCTGAGAAGTAGGAAAGGTCGGAGAGAAGGTTGGAGGGGAGTGGGGGTTGATTAATTAGACAAGTCGCGGCAAAACGTCGCAGCGCGTGCGACAAATCGTTTTGTGTGTACTGAAGAATTTTTTCGTGAAAATCTTTGTCTCCGCAGCAGAATTTTATCGCGCAAAATCAAATCAGATAGAATTTGTGCAACTGGTTGCGGCGACATAATTCTATTGCGGAGACAAAGATTTTCACAAAAGTTCTCCTGCACACACCACAGGGCGCTCACTCAATGTGTGTGTAACCTTTTGTTTTTTATAGCAAATGTACTGGATTTACCGTTTGCTTCACCTACAGCGATATATTGCTAAGTATGTATAGATCGTTTTCAGTCAGGTGGTCAGCAGCTTTGCAAATTGCTTGGAATAAAAGAAAGTTTTAAAATGTGAAAAGAGTTCAATTCCCACAGGATTTTTTTTGTACACAAACATGGCCGCCGATTCATTGTTTCGTACACAAATATGGCCGCCGTGACGTCATGTGAAAACGATCTATGTATAAATCAATGTTAAATAAACGTTGAATTGCCTTACCTGTGGTATATTGTCCTCCTTTTGCCTCAAAAGCGGTTTTTCGAGCGATTTAGAAGGATTGTGAGTTCGCCGTTTACTCTTCCTGATCCTTATAATAAAAGGACAAGGGAGGAATCCTTGTTTTGAAAGGGCTCCAGCGCCGAAGCGATTTTCCCCCAGGAAATCGCATTGGTTCGCTTTCAAACTGCAAACTTCGTAGCCAAAAGGTCTAAAGATTCACGCTTCTCCTCGTACCTTCCGATCGAAAATCCACCAAAACGGTCCGGAGATAGCCCTCAAGGAAAATTAAAATCCCATAGTTTTTGAACGGTCAAAATTCGTAGCAAGATTCATTCCTATTTCAGTTCACGACTAAGAGACGGGAATGGGTGTGCAGCTCGAACTATGGAGCCTGAGTGTTTAATGCCGTCCAAATAACATACAAAGTTAAACCATAGTTATTAGAAACTGGTTTAAACATCAATGATAAAAACAAACTGCAAATGAAGTGCACAATCCTTTGTTTTCTGTTGGCAAATTGTTACGGAATAAAAATGCAATTCAATCAAAAAATAGGAAAACGTGCACTTTCTCACAAAAACATATAACAAAGGAGTCTGACGGGTTTCATAACCATTCCACTCAATTAACTATGGTTAAACATCATAACTAAAGAATGGTATACAAATATTCCTAAATAAAGTCACTCAGGCTAAACTATTCACGTGCGCCGCCTGATACGAAAACCCAAAAACCCAATGGGAAAAAATTGGGAACGTATTCCTCAACCGATGCGGTCGCACAACCTCTGGGGGTTAAAGGTAAAAAATCAGTCGATAGATGAATAAAGTAAGATGTAAAAATAAAAGTTGATAGTTTTTCTGGTATACCATAGTTATCAAAGTGGAATGGTTATGATATTCGTTAGACTCCTTTGTTATATGTTTTTGTTAGCCTTTTTGGACCACCCCGTGCACTACGTTCAATAGCATTCCTATCATTTTGAACTTACTGACCAATAGAGACATTGCATTAATTTATTCAGTCACAATAGCATTCCTATCATTTTGAACTTAGTGGTCAATAGAAACATTGCATTAATTTATTCAGTCACAATTTGGGAACAAAAAACAAAGGATTGTGCATGGTCAGTAGCTACAGTACCGTTGTTTTAAACTTTGATGTTTGCCGGCTTTCATATATAACCAGTCTCCTCTGCTAACTACGGGTATACCAGCTGCATGTTTTAGCTGTAAGTACTTTCCTTTATATACGCGCGAGCTACTAGGATACCTCCTCGGAATTTCGCTTCTGGGGGCCCTTCTGGGTGAAATCCCTGCGGGGGCAATGAATATGGCGGTCATCTTAGCAGCACACGCTCTGCATCAAATTTGTAATGAGTATCAATCCATTCTTGAAACATAGCTTCAACTAAACTTGCTTCTTAAAATGTTTTCTTTTTTATTGTTAAGGTGGTTTTAATGCGTCAGCTATTCTTGGGAATGACATCAAGTACTTGGAAAACTTAACTTCATTTTTGGAGCCAGTGATCAATAGTTCGGTCCGTAGTAGGTTTGTGAGGTGTTGGCACGCTAAAGAGAACGGCTGGGCGGCGTCTACGTTCCACGGCAACTGTTGTGACAAGGGACCCACTGTTACTATCATTCAAGTCGGCAGTTTCATATTTGGTGGATACAGTGACGTATCCTGGAAAAGCCCACCGGGTGAGTACATGTACTAGGAAAACCAGGACTATCGTTTGTTGTTTGTTTATGACTCAAAACGTAGGAAAGACGTACCTCGGGCCCCCATTAGGCCATTTTCATAATGACGTCCATTAACTAAAACTGTCAAAATTTATTTCATTTCTTCTACCAAAATTCAAATCAAGTTATCCCAGAACGTTTAAATAATAACAGCTTTAATTTGCACAAGAAACAAAATCTTAAAGACTTTGGTAGCGGGGCAGTGGCGGATCCAGAACTTGCGATAAGGGAGGGGCCCGGTCATCCAGACCTTGAGATAAGGGAGGGGCCCGGTCATCCAGACCTTGAGATAAGGGCGGGGCCCGGTCATCCAGACCTTGAGATAAGGGCGGGGCCCGGTCATCCAGACCTTGAGATAAGGGCGGGGCCCGGTCATCCAGACCTTGAGATAAGGGCGGGGCCCGGTCATCCAGACCTTGAGATAAGGGAGGGGCCCGGTCATCCAGACCTTGAGATAAGGGAGGGGCCCGGTCATCCAGACCTTGAGATAAGGGCGGGGCCCGGTCATCCAGACCTTGAGATAAGGGCGGGGCCCGGTCATCCAGACCTTGAGATAAGGGAGGGGCCCGGTCATCCAGACCTTGAGATAAGGGCGGGGCCCGGTCATCCAGACCTTGAGATAAGGGAGGGGCCCGGTCATCCAGACCTTGAGATAAGGGAGGGGCCCGGTCATCCAGACCTTGAGATAAGGGAGGGGCCCGGTCATCCAGACCTTGAGATAAGGGAGGGGCCCGGTCATCCAGACCTTGAGATAAGGGAGGGGCCCGGTCATCCAGACCTTGAGATAAGGGAGGGGCCCGGTCATCCAGACCTTGAGATAAGGGCGGGGCCCGGTCATCCAGACCTTGAGATAAGGGAGGGGCCCGGTCATCCAGACCTTGAGATAAGGGAGGGGCCCGGTCATCCAGACCTTGAGATAAGGGAGGGGCCCGGTCATCCAGACCTTGAGATAAGGGAAGGCCCGGTCTCAAAAAAAAATTTTTCGGCCCCTCGGGCCTCGGTTTGGTCTAACAATAAGTGGAGGGTCCGGGCCCCCCAGACCCCTCACCTGGATCCGCAACTGCAAGGGGTTTACTATTACAACCATTGGCGGATCTAGGGGGAGGGTTGGAGGGGCAGTCCGGTCCCCCATCAATATATCCGTCAGATAGGAAAAAATAATTTGTTTTGATGGTCCCGGCCCAATTTTGCTGAGTTATACGGTGTAGGATACGACAGAAAATTTGTACAAAACCAATGACATGTAGTTTCATCCATGAACATTCATGAGCGAAAATTTTATACAAATATAGCGGCAATGCGCGGACTTTTTAGGGTTGTCCGTCTTGATTACATGACGATTCCTAGAGGTTGAATTTTTATGTGTCCAGCCGGTTTCGCTTAGTAAGGTGAGTAAGAATGTAAAAAGTTTTTGTTTATCTCCTAGTTTGTATGTATGGAAATTCAAGTAAAGCCTTCATCTACTCACTGAACAATGACAACGGTTCTGGACACGCTGTGTACAATCCTGTTAAGCTGCAAGTCCGGTCATATAGGCACTCTTACGCTGTATACTTGTGTGCTTCAACTGGACCAATATTTGGCAGACGCGACATATATATATCAAACTACTCTGCAAGTAACCAGGATTCTTACACTCGATGTGGTCGAAGCTACCCCTTCCCCCTAGGGGATTCTTTATTCTCTTATTATCATTATCATTATCATTATTATTATCGGCACCGCTGCACATTCTATGCCGGAGAGTTTCGCTTCACCCCAACAAATATCGAAGTTTTTTACGAAACAACCACTTAAAGGGCTGCATGACCTGACGGATTTTACCTCTTTTTCGGTTGTTTCGTTTCTTTGCATTTCATTGACGTCATGACATTATCACGTCATTTGTGCTCCTCGCATCCTTTGACCCAGTCTTCTCTTAACATTTCTTTACTTCCCACTCGCGCCCTTATCATTGGCACGGGAACAAGCTCTCTCTCTTTTTCACTCTAGGGTTTCTGTCTAATTGTAGCAACAACATAGACAACACGTCAAGAAAAACGGAATTTTAATTTGCTTTATCACATAACGATAACAGAAAAGCCTTATTAAAGCAGTGCGAGTGTTTATATTAGCCTCTTTGAACCACTAGCTTTAAGATTAGAGCTATCAGTGATAGTAAAAGGTGTATCAATACCAAACCAAATTTGCCCTTTGAGAATAACAATACTGGTATCGGAAGCGTCAGGGGCGGATCTAGGGGGACGGTGCAGGGGGTTTTCCCCCCCCCCGCGAGATGACCTGAGGTTTTCTAGTACAACTGGTATTCTGCAAAAAAAAAAAAAACTATGTAGTTTATTGGTGTTGAAGTAGAGCAAGAGACGAGTGCTCCCCCTCCTAAAAAAAATCCTGGATCCGCCCCTGAGCGTTAAAAAGAGTGTGAAGACCGGCTGCAGATGAGCGGTCTGCATTTGTGGCACCAACAATTTTTTCCAAAAACTTTAGTTCCATGGTATTAGTTTGAAAAACTACATAATTCTGTATGCAAAACGAAACAAATCAGAGTCTTAAAACAAGATCTCTTGTCTTAAACAGGTTAGCGAAACGAGCAATTTTTGTGTTTAACACGGTCAGGTTTTCAAGGGCTTCGGCACCACACCTCTACCCATACTTTCCTTGAGTGCCCTCCCGCGTCTGAAGCCAATTACTGCTATTCTTGAAATGTGTCCTGAACTCATGTTAAAAAGGCAATAGTTAACCGTATTATTTACCCATAAATTACTTGTAAAAGTACTTTTATCGGCCTGGCAGTGCAATAAATCACACTATATGGCACACCTATAGGGTTATATTTCCCTATAGGTGACCCATTAACAAGAATATATTAAAGGAACTGCAAAGACAGACGAAAACAAATTCTCTTGAATGCGAAATTCTTAATGTATTTCTATCATTGATATTTTATTCCGTATTCCGTTTTCGTTTCCGTTTCCGTGATTCCGGATTCCATTCCATTCCATCTTGAGCACATCGACCGCTTGCCCATTCGTCAGGGCAAATCCTTTCTGACGAAGGGCAAGCGGTGGATACGGAAGTGCTCAAAGGGTACCTAACGCAGAGTTGCTTTAGAATGGCCCAGCTCAACTGTCATGAATTACGCTTGTTAATAACGTAACAAAAGTTAGTAAAGATCAGGTCGCTACTTTGTATGTATACCGTATGTAAACCGGCCTTAATTATAATAACTTTTGGTTACAACTTTTCAGTTGATTGTTGTAGTTGCTTTGCCGTTAGTTGTTTAACCAACCGACTTTGAAACAGTAAAATAAAACTGAGGTCAACCTATGTTGTCTTATGGCTTCCACCGTTAAGCATTTGAATTGTGACAACAATCTCAATCGTTTTTTTCTGATTCAAGCCCGGGGGGGGGGGTACTCCCTTATATAAGCTATATAGGCAAGTGCCGCCCCATCTGGTAGGGTTTTTCGGCCCTTTTGGTCTGAAAACAGGTCTAGACTTTGCCCATTTTGGTCTGGAATCGGGTATGGTTTTCGGGGAAACTACGAGAGTGTATGAACGTATTTATCGTTTAAATTCCAAATGAGTAAGAAAGAAAGAGAAATATGCGAATTCGAAATGCATTTGATGAATTTTTTTGTTTGTGCTCTAATCTAGGTTATGATGACATAATTTCTGGCTAAAGGCCAGGTCTGAAAACGGGTATGGAATTTAGAGGTCTAGTCTGAAAACGGGTGTGGAAAATGCCATTTTTGGGTCTGAAGTGGGGTCAGGATTTGGAGAACCGGGCGGCACACCCCCACCAAGAATTCCCAGGAGTACCCCCCTCCCGGGGATTCAAGGTTGCACAGCCTGCGAATACAGCCGTCGCTCCTCTCTCCTTACCACCTTGGACCTTCCTTAGGAAGGAAGCCACTGTCGTATGCAGACCTTGGGATAAGGGGGACGCCCGGTCATCCAGACCAGGAGGAGGAAGGGGGGGGGGGCAGTCTCCAAAAACTTTTTTCGGCCCTGCGGGGCTCAGTTTGGTCTAAAAATAAGGGGAAGCCTTTGGTCTAAAAATAAGGGGAACCCCCGGAGAATTTGCAAGCCCAAGGGATTTTTTAGGAGGTTTTGATTTTTGCCCCTATTCGATAATCCTCGTCACTTGAGATCCTGAGTACCCCACCCCTGGGGCTCAGTGCAGAGTAGTGTCATTGGAGGAACTTCCTATCTGACCTAACGATGGGGCCGACATGCTTCTTTTCAAGAGAACTTCACGAGATCGCAACGAAATTTCACATGAGCCTGTGCGCTCATTGCATGAGGCGGATCTTGTTAGATATTTACTCCGATTTCTGCGACTGAAAGCGTATTGTTCCTTTATCAAATCTTGTGAAGGATCAGACACATTAAAAGAATGGCATTTAGCTTTCCAACTTTTCTTTGAATCTTTGGACGATGAAGAATGAAATATTGGAAATTCCGTCCTTTGAGGGTGGACGGTCGCAACAACTGTTAAAATGGACGAGGGATTCTGCAGCTGGGGACTGTCAAAAAAATTGCCATGTGATCTGATTAGTGAAGGAGATGACACAGGTCTTTTCTTCATTCCACCAAATAATTCTGTCACGTTGGCTAATTCGCATGACGCTGATCTTGACAAAAGGCGACGGGCGTAAGCATTTGGTTGTTTTTGAGTACCTTCCATTAAAAAAAGATCCTTTGATCTGACGTATTGCATGGGAGCAACTTTTGACCTGGTTACGGGGTGTTTTCTTAAGGGTAAAATGTCGAGAATGGTGTTTCTAAAGCGGTGGTTTCTGTAGAAGTAAATTAGTGGATTCACGACAGAGTTCATTTGCACTAGTGTCTCTGCTGACCGAAAGACAGAACTCTTGCGAAGGCCTGGGTACAATTCTCCCAACAATCCAACAGTAACCAAGGGAACAAAGGAAAGAATAACAGCTGCTGAAGCCAATGCGCATGTCATAATAACTCTGTTTTCGAGTTTTGTTTTCACCAGAGCAGTGACTTGGGTAATCAGTCTTCGTTTGCGCGCTTCACGATACATCATGAAGTAAAAATAAGCGATTAGACAGACTAGAATTAATAAGAAAAATGCAGAGATAGCCTCAATGATAAAATCGTAGTTGATGCCGTAGGTTGTTACTACAATACCTGGAATTGGTGTTAACGCGGCTAAGAGCCAAGTTGTTATGGCGAGTTGCTTGAGGTGGCGTCTTGTCATTTTCGCTTTGTAATCATAACAATTCCGTATTGCCTGGTACCTGTCCCAAGCGATGAGGATCAAATGGTATAGGGTACAAGTTGTTAAAGCGTGCATCAAGTAGACGTTAACCAAGTCTACTGAGCAAATACGATCATCAAAAACTTGCCGGGAAATAACAAAGTCAACAATGGCTGATAAAGGCATGTTTATCGCACTTACCAAAATGTCCGCAACGGCCATGCTCGACAACAAAATGTTCGTATTTGTTTGCAGTTCCTTTCTTGATCTGACTGCTGCAATAACCAAAATGTTCAAAATGACCGCAGCGGGAGATGCGATAGATACGATTGCGACCATTATCCAGGGGAAGACTTTGTCAGTTAGATCCCACACAAAGTTGGGATACTGTGGGCAAGAAAAGACGGACCCGATCGCGGACGAAGAGTTCATAGTTGCCTGTGCTGAAGTCCCTTATAACTGATGCTCACTGCTTTGACACTGTTTTATGAGTTCTGTACTGTTTAAGGGGAGATTAATCATCAATTTCGATTTAAGTCTTCCGGCCATTATTTTTGGCCAACGTTGCTAATTCTGTGGATGTAGGCGCATTAGTTTTTCTGAGACAACGGGAAATTTTCTTGTTTTGCATTAAATTATGATTTGTTTTAAGATGAACTGACATTTTGCAGACGGTTGAGCGATTACTTTAACAAGGCGAACAAAACAGCAAGAAGACAATTAAACGGAATAACGGTTTTATCGTAGACAAAAGCGAATTGTATGTTGGTTAGCATTTCCTATACAAGCCCTCGAGATCTCATTAGTTTTCTTCTTTCCATTTGTGAGTTATATTCAAAGAAAATTTCTTGTTAAATTTTGAAATAGATTTTTATGAACCTGTCTCTCGAAGATGAAAATTTGCTTTGCCTTTAGCTCTACCGGTTTCTGTAAAATTGATTTCACTACAGTAAACACCCGTGAAAAATAACCCTCATGGATTAAGAACCTCCTGGCAGAAATTTGCCACTTTAATACCCCAAAATACAAAAACTTTTTAAGCCAAGCAAGATCAAGCGGGTTCCAATATCATGGTTTCAGTTAAATTATGATAATTAAGTTAACCAAGGAGTGCAACTTTGAGATTGAAAATTTAAGTAAAAACTGTCGATAAATTCAGTAATCAGTTATGTTAGAGTTATAAAAAAACAATTGTGAATAAATACGCTGTATATTTTTAATGACCAAACCCAAGTTATATATATTTCTGGTAATCAACAATCTATTATGTCCTTCATAAAATTAAGAACCTAATTAAAAACCTATATAGCCTAAATTGCCCGGCAATAAGTACCCAAAGTACAAGAAACTATTTTGACTTCAAAAAAGAAGGTTCTTAATCGCGAGTGATTACCATATAGGTAGGTAGGTTTCTTATAGATTCAACCAATCTTTCAAAAATGAAAATTTGGGCTCCATAATTAGCTCTAATTTTCTAAAAAATTGATCGAAAATAAAAAAATTAAAGTTTACTTACAGGTAGCTCAACTGTAACGGGCAAGAATCGTATATGGCCTTTTAAGACCTTAAAACCTGCCAAATGTGCAACGCTAATGACAATTCCATGAACGTTTCACGTATGGTGGTACAGCAAAAAAAACATGAACTAAAATGCTAGTCGAAATATATCAGAATATTCACAAGAATGTTTTCCGCCTGACATGTCACGGGCAGAAAAATAAAAATATTCTGTTAAGAACTCAAAATTATATTCTTTTTGTTGCCACTTCTCTTCACAACGAGACTTCCCTTGAGTGTGGCTAGCCATTTTGGTCACGGCGAGCGTACAAGTGTTTCAGTGTGGGTCTTGTTCGGTGTCTTTTTTTTGTTTTTTGTGTTGCGTTATTTGGTGATCGCACCTGTCTGCATTGCCAAACTTTTGTCAGCTTTTGTCAGACAAGCAAAAAAAACAAAACAAAACAAAACAAAACTACAGTTACATAATAAAAAAATAATACATAATATAATGTAAGTATTATTTTTTTTAGTACTGTAAATCATTTGTTTCAGTTTCTCTTAGCTTTTCCAGTCTCTGAGGTTAGTCTGGCCTAACCGAAAACTTGTGTGATAAATCATACCCATCCATAACTGTCCGAACAGCCTTGCCTTTAATTTATAGTTTTATTCTACACTGCTGCTCCTGATCTACCCCAAGAGCCGGCTTCTCTTCCCTGCTGTTTGTCCAAGTGGTCCTTGCAAGAATTGTTCTCGGTCAAAGGAAAATCGCTCTTTATACAAAGGAAAGAAAACACATAGACTAGATTTTTATCGGAATTTTCGACATCTTTACATGGTTTTGCCCTTTTCTCTCTCCGAATTGAATAAATCTTCCTCATTCTGGTATGGTTTGAAAGATCTCGTCATGCTGCACAAGTTTGGTGCCAAAGTTTCCCTGACCGTAAAAACTGACGGCGTCATAAGCGATGCAAGGGAAGTGGATCCGCACGAGTAGTACGTTACGGGCGTTTCAGGGGCGAATGGATTTGCGAAGGTTTGTGGTGAGCGGTCTACATGAGTGGTATCAACAATGATTTTTTAAAAAATCTTTTGCCATGAAGTTGGTTTAAAAGAATAATCCCGCGGGAGGGTGGGGCGGGGGGAGGGGGGGCGCGGGGGAGAAGAAATAACTAATTCTGATCTGGCAACGAAACAAAATGAATAAAAAATAAAACACAAACAGCGATGATAAAACAATATGGGTTTTCACATTTTTATAAACTTGACGTTTCGTATGCTGTTCAACATACATTGTGATCTTAAGTGACCGTTAAAGAAAATGACGAGATTATATATTCAAGAATTGCAACGGGTCTGGAAATGAGCTTAAGAATTTAAAAATTCTTAACATTAAAGAATACAAAAGGCAACAGCTAATAAAGCATCAACTAAAGCATCAAAGCGAAAACTCACAATGTTTATCACCTCTGTTTGTGTTTTAATTTTGATCAAACTACGATGGCCCAAAAATGAATCAAGGTAATGAAACCAAGTCTTCAGTTTTACACCGGGTAGCGAATGAACGATACCTTGTTCCTAGTCGCTCACGATCACCTTCTTGGGAGAGCGAAGAGAATGATGGGAAGCTGTCATTACCTTCCCATCATTCGCTGCTCGCGCTCTGCGCTTGTTCCCATCATCCCGCGTTGCTTGCTCATCTCCAGCACCCCGCCTTAATACTCCGTGCCCGGCCCCACTAAGCCTTGGAAAAGTCTGTATAGAAGGCAGACTTGACCGGGCCATGGGTCCTTCTAAGAAAGAAAAATTATTCGCAGCTTTGATGGAAGAATTTGAGTACAGTTTATGTCAACTGATTTAACTTTGACCAGAATGACCTGTCCCGTCAGCGGAGCACCCATACATGTAGTTACTGTGAAATCCGTACCTTTGCCAACCCCCTCTGAATTCCTTGAATTAAGAAAAGATTCCCATAATTAACTCTTTCTAGTAAATATAGTGTGTCGTGAATACTTAGGCTATTCTTCCTTTTCATTGGCCAAGAGCCCACCAGGTGACCTGCAAACAACTGCCTACAAATAATGGTCTGCTCATGCGTAAATGAAACCACTCTTTCCTCCTTTTTGTGATCGCTCTTGCGTAAAAATGGCAGATCGCTTCGCTGACCATTCAGAGAGCGATATTCAATAAAAAAACAAACCGGTGACCGAATGATAAGACAATTATTGAACTCGGTTATCGCAAAATATCGTGATTTTTCAGTGTCCCTCAGCTGTCGGCTTCGGCCAAATTATAATTGATCTGCTCGCCACTGACAAATCATGATATTTTGCTCAACCTCGTCCAATAATTGTCAATTGTTGTTGTGGTTAGTGTTGTTTTGTTGTTTATTTTTCGCATTTTTCAGTACAAAATGAAATTTGGAATGTGAGTGACACGGTCATACGGGTGCTATAGCTGTACTGGCACGTTTCTAACATTCAGAAGTGACCGCGCGGAGGGTAATACTTTTATGGTGAAAGCAATCAAGGCTGATGTCTCAACAAAAGACATCTAATACTCAGTGCATAGTGTCATCGCAGGAACTTTTGATCTGACCTAAAGATGGGGCTGACATACTTCTTTTCAAGAGAATGTCACGAGATCGTGGCGAAGTTCCACATGAACCTGCACTCTCATTGCATGAGGCAGATCTTGTCAGATATTTACTCAGATTTCTGCGATTGAACGCGTATTGTTCCTTTATCAAATCTTGTGGTGAATCAGACACATTTAAAGGATTGCATTTAACTTTCCAACTTTTCTTTGAATCTTTGAACGATGAAGGATGAAACATTGAAAAAGAGTCACCATGTCCTTGCGACCTTTTAGGGTGGACTGTCGCAACAACTGTTAAAATGGTCGAGGGATTCTGCGATTGCGGAGAGTTGCTGCGTAATCTGATTATTGAAGGAGCTGATACAGGTCTTTTCTTCATTGCACCAATTAATTCTGTCACGTTGGATAATTCGCACGACGCTGATTTTGACAAAAGGCGACGGCTGCACACATTTGGTTTTTCTAGAGTATCCTCCATTGAAGAAAGCCGATCCTTTAATCTGACATCTTGGCTAGGACTAACTTTTGTCTTAGCTGCTGGGAGATTTCTGATGCATAAAATCTCGAGAACGATGTTTCTAAAGCGACGGTTTCTGTAGCAGTAAAGAAGTGGATTCACTATAGAGTTCATTTGCAGTAGAGTCTCTGTTGACCGAAAGACGTAATGGTTGCGAAGGACTGGGTACAATTCTCCCAACAAGCCAACAGTTACCAAGGGAACAAAGGAAAGAATAACAGCTGTCGAAACCAATGCACACGTGATAGCAACTCTGTTTTCCAGTTTTGCTTTTACCAGAAAAGTTATTTGGGTAATGTGTGTTAGTTTACGTTTGCGCGTTTCACGATAAACCATGATGTAAAAGTAGGCGATGAGAATTAACGCGAAAAATGCAGCAATAGCATCAATGATAAAATCATGGTTGATACCCAGGGCTGTTAGCACAATGCCTGGAATATGTGTTACCGCGGCTAAGAACCAAGCTGTTATTGCAAGTTTCTTGAGGCGACGTTTTGTCATTTTAGCTTTGTACTCAAAACATTTTCCTATTGCCTGGTATCTCTCCCAAGCGATCAAGGTTAAATGATAAAGAGAACAACCCGTAAAAGCGAACATCAAGTAAACATTAACCAAGTCTACCTGACAAATGGCATTGTTAAAAACTTGCCGGGAAATGACAAATTCAACAAGGGCTGATAAAGGCATGTTTATAGCACCTACCAAAATGTCCGCAACAGCCATGCTCGACAACAAAATGTTCGAGTTTTTTTGCAGTTCCTTTCTTGATTTCACTGCTGCGATAGTCAGAATGTTCAAAATGATTGCAGCAGGTGATGCGATAGATACGATTGCGACCAGTATCCAGGGGAAAATTTCATTTGTTGTGTCCCACACAAAGTTTGGACTTTGTGGGCAAGAAAAAACTGGCCTGTAGCTGGCCACAGATGAAGAGTTTATATTTGTTTGAGTATCATTAAACATGATACAGTAAACTGAAGCCTACTCGGTTTTGTCACTGTTTGAGGTCGGTGAAAAAGACTGAAGTCGAACCATAAAATTGCCAACGTTGCTGGGAGTTGCTAATTACGTGTACGAAGGCGTTTATTTTAATTAGTTTTGGGACAATTGGGAATTTTCTTGTATTCATTAAGTTATGAATTGTTTTTTAACAGGTAAACTGACATTTTGCAGATGGTTGTGCGATTCATTTTTACTAGTTGAAAAAAAACTGAAGATAAGTGAAAAGAATAACAGTCTTATCGTGGACAAAAGCGAATCATAATTCCTGCCTATTGTGGAATATATTTAAAAAATTTGTTTGGCTTAATTTTGAAATAGATCATGGTGAACCAGTCTTTCAAAGCTGAAAATTTGGACTTGATTTAGCTATACTTTTCTGAAAAATTGATTTAAATGTAGGTAGGTAGGTAGGTTATTAATAAGTTGTCGGATTAAACCAAGCATCTTTTAAAAATGAAAATTTGGACTCTAATTATCTCTACTTATCTGAAATCAGAAGCCTGAAATTGATTTTTAAGATGGGAATCAAAAAACTGATTTGTAATCTCAGTTCCGCGACGCTTCACTACAAAAAGATTAATTATCCGAAAAGGATCATTTGCCACGGCAACGCCACAACATAAAAGACATGCATATGAATGATATAAAATATATGTTTCGATAGAAACACAACCGTTACGTACGACTTCTATAGAGTTTGAAATTAGCCTCTCGTAAGAGTGGATGTGGTTTCAGCCTTTAAGACGAACCGTGAGACCGTCAGGTCCGAGGCTTCAATATCTTTCAAATCTGAAAGGTGGAGAGTGGCTTTTCTTCGACGTGCATCAGTCTTCTTTGTAATGCATTTTAAAAGTCTATCCAGGCTGAAATTTGAGAAATTTTAAAAATATTCAAAGAATATAAATCCGAGGCTGAGGTTTTAAAAAATAAATTTTGTCGGCTGAAAAGTTTTAGATGCAATATATCAGTTAACTGCTTTTTACTAAATCGTCTAAAACTCTTCTTTTCTCCGTACGGAAGAACAAAATAAAAAACGGTGAACACCTTTAACCCTTTAAGCCCTAATATCCACATACAAATTCTCCAAACTGATCTCCATACATTTCCTCGAAGAATTAGTTGAGAGAATTTGATAAAAGATCAAAGATTTTTTTCCTTGTGATCATTTTATTAATTCTCATAGACTTTGCTCTTGACGATCTATGGATATCGTTAGGAGAAAATTGTGTTTGGTCACCATTGGGATGATGTTCGATGCGAAAGAAAGGCTGATGAACGTTGCTTGTATTACACGCATGTATGGTATAAAGCACACACAAAAAGCTATAGGGTGGAGACTTGTGACATCAGGTTACCACCGTAGCCAGATTTCTGGACTTCATCAATCTTTCTTGACAGAGACGCTCATTTGCTGTCAAACGATGGAAGAAACGTATGGGCCACCGTCTTGTTCCTGAGTGCAATTATGCACAGGAAAATCATACATGTCATTTTTTTTTTTCGTTTTTTTTTTCTGTCGTATTTGCAGGACCACGGTTTGTTGAGATCCAGAAATTTTGCTACCATGGCAACGTGACGTAACGACTTCTTTCTCAGTTAACCACTGGTCGAAATTAAATCATGCAGCCGCTCAAATTAAAGCCATGATATTCTCCACAAGAATGTTTTCAGCCTAACATCGGCCAAAAAATAAAAATATATATTCTGTTAGAGAAATTGCAAAGTAATTGGAAAGCTATCAATGAAATTAAGACAAGTGATTGCGGACCACAAAAGTGAACATGACAATAAGAAAGACGCTTATGGGGACATGTGCTTGATCCCGCCTCTTATATAGAACACAAGCCTGGTACCCTATTTCCTTGAATAAGTTCCCGAGCGCTAATTTGAAATTTCGGCTAAAAGAAGGGGTGCTTAATCGAGGGAAGCGCTCTTTAACTTTCGTTAACTTTTCATTTCAATGAACGGTAATGTTATCTTGGTCGAATCTTTAATATAAAAACAAAAACTATAACAGCCACGTAAGTCAATATTGAAACGACTTGGGGTTGGTAATCTAGTCAAGCGAACCATAGTCCCATTTTACACTTTACACTGACGAATCGGTATGCACGTTGAAAAAATATCAAATATGTCTCATCATCCTCGAGATTATCCACGTCAACAGTATGCAGATCGTCGCATTCCTCTTGTATTCCTACTATTTAAGCAAGTGAATGGAAGGGACGGGAGCACTTATTTGAGAGGGGCGCTTATTACATGACCTTGGGGGTGAGCACTTATTCAAGGGACATGGTGCCCGTACTAAGGAGTGGGTGCTTATCAGGGGAAATACGGTTTATAGATGAAAAAAATGTCAGGAAATTGCAGACTTGTTAGATGGATATGTTGAGGCAAATGGTTAATGGTGGATGGAGTAGGACTTTCAACTCCTGGAGACGCAGAAGAGACAGAATTCAGACTCCGATACACCATCACAGACATCATACACATAACTGACAACAAAAAAAGGAAGCAACAGTCAGAAATGTGATCAGGAGCCAATTGCTTAAATATAATGATCTTGTTTGATTGCCCAAACAATATGCTGACAAAGAAGATGCTTTTTGCGAAGTCGACGCGGCCATACCAACGTACACTACGAGCAGTCTCTCTGTTTTCTTATTCCGTCGAGCGAAACGCTGCCACGCTTGCGCGCGCGCGTGCACTCTAGTCCCCTCATTAAATCTGAAGACAAGAGAGACTGCTGGCTGCCTATACCCAATGGGACCCCTGGATCAATGTCTCAAATTTGTTAAACATCTCGATTGAACAAGGAAAGTGGAGCAGGCAAAAGAAACCTGGTTTCGCTGCATTGACCGAGCCACGATACCAACAATGCAACTCCGTGGCAAGAAGATAGCTGAATTGGAAGAATATAGTGGAAACTGCTCCTTGAAGCACCTTCCCAGCGGCTTCTCTGTATGCACTGTGATTTATGGGAAGGATTTAGTGAGTTCGCAGTGCATCAAGGGAAGGACGGAAGAAAAACGCGAAGCGCCCTTGCGCGCGCCAAATTGCCTTTCCATATTCCTTTGCGAGATTTATAAATGACGACTGGGTACGAGTCTGTACTTGAAGAGTGATAGCCACTTTGTTACGGCGTGTGTAAGAGTGTTTTTTTTTGGCTTGCGTACCGCGCCCTTTTTTTCCCCGGTCTACTCTTTGACTCGAAACTACCGAAGAAACTCATATGCATACTCATTTCAAACGAGGAAAACATAAACAAACAGAAAGCAAAATTCTCAATGTTGGCCATTGACGCCATTTTGAAACATCATTCTGAAAACAGAAATTCCTTTTCGTTTTTGATAAACTAACCAGGAATACGGTCTTAAATAGGGTGATAGAGACCTTTAGATTTGAGGACGAGATTTAACTTTAACGTTTCCTCGCGTCTTCTAAAAAAAGGGTCCCCGGAAAGCTTCATTGTACTTTTTTCCACCAGAGATGTTGGCACTTTTATTTTTATTGAAGGAGGTTAAACCCTTTCCTGGTCCTAAAATGACAAAATTCCTAACATTTGACAACTTGTTTTTTCTTTTTACAAATCTTCGTAAAAAAGCGGACGGGGAGGGGGGTGGGGGGTGGTATTACAAATGGTGATTCAATCAATGTGGATTTTGTGTAACTAACGGATGATAATGTCGCAATGGATAATGACACTTGACTAGTTTTCTATACATTCACTAGCTATAGGAATACAAATACTTCTCAATAAACGGACGCATTGAGGGTTTCATAAGCACCTAAAAAGAAAGCGCAATGCTTATTCAGTTATTGTGAATTTTTCGCTACCTGCGGATAATTTAAGTGCACTCTTTTTTTGAAAGAATGTTGTTTTTTTCCGCCCAGGCTGAATATTCTGATTTTCCAACGATTTCAGACCAACAATATTCTTGTATTATTCTTAAATTGTAATACATAAATAAAGAGTTTATCATATACGTTGTATAGATATGTATTTCATGATTGTACCATTCATCGGACTGTCATTAGCATTGAACACTTGAATATAGCTGGTGCAGGTTTCTTCGTTGCTTTTTTGGGAGTTGGGGGAGGAAAGACTTTTTGCCATTGAGAGAAAGCAATAATTTTATACGTTTAAGTTAAAAGCATATTGTTCACATTTTCAACACACAAAATTATATCTTTTTCAAACTTGATTCCTCTCAGTCTCGGGTTTATTCTTGAAATTTCGCAAATTTCGGCCTCAATATTTTTATAAAATGAATTCTTAAAAACAAAGGGTGTATGACGCGTTGATGTCATGTGACGGGTTTTAACACCATTCTTCAGTCATGAGGATACAGATACTAAACGGTATACAGTCGTCTCGCCACCGACAATATCGCCCCCCGAAGAACTCAACTCGATCACCACCAACGAATAACTCTGAAATAATTGACACTAGCCTTCGTAGCAGGCGCTTGGAAGTAGTGGAGGAAAGAGAGAACGGGCGCGCGCAAGGAAGACACTACTTCCAAGCGCCTGCTACGCAGGCTAACTTGACACAGTTTGCCTAGTATATAGCCTATGCGAATTTAAAGTTGACCTAAATGCAACTTTGTCGATCCTAATTGACGATCTTTGCGTCGAACTTCTTATGCTCTTACTGTAATACTCATACTCTAAATACTGATAGTAGGTTAGCTTCCCAAGCAGATGTTCCTATGGGTTCGTCACGCGTTTCTGCTCCACGTTCAGGCTAATCAGACAGGTTCGGTGAATGTTAACTTTGACACTTGAGAGAAGAAACTATTTTGACGTCAAAAAATAGGTTCTTAATCGCGGGTGATTACCATATAGGTAGGTAGGTTTCTTATAGATTCAACCAATCTTTCAAAAATGGCAATTTGGGCTCCATTAGCCGCTCTAATTTTCTCAAAAATTGATCGAAAATAAGTTTACTTATAGGTAGCTCAACTGTCACGGGAGAGAATTGTATGGCCATTATAGACCTTTGAACCTGCCAAATGTCCAACGCTTATGACAATTCCATGAACGTTTCATGTATGGTTTACAGCACAAAAAACATGAAGTAAACTGCTAGTCGAAATATATAAAGAATTTTCACAAGAATAATTATTCGCAGCTTTAATGGAAGAATTTGAGTACAGTTTAAGGCAACTGATTTAACGTTGATCAGAAGGGCCTATCCCGTCACCGAAGCACCCGTACATGTAGTTACTGTGAAATCCGTACCTTTGCCAACTCCCTCTGAATTCCTTGAATTAAGAGAAGATTCCCATAATTAACTCTTTCTAGTAAATATAGTGTGTCGTGAATACCGTAAGCTATTCTTCCTTTTCATTGGCCGAGAACCCACCACGTGACCTGCACATAACTGCCTTCAAATAATGGTCTGTTCATGCGCAATGCCGTCTACCTGTGGTTTGGCTAGGTGTTTTGGCTGTAAATAATGTTCTGCTCATGGGTAAATGAAACCACTCTTTCCTTATTCTTGTGATCGCTCTTGCGTAAAACTGGCAGATCGCCTCGCTGACCTTTCAGAGAGCGATATTCAATAAAAAAGCAAACCGGTGACTGAATGATAAGACAATTATTGAACTGGGTTATCGCAAAATATCGTGATTTTTCAGTGTCCCGCAGATCAATAATTTGCCTCAGCCGTCGGCTTCGGCAAAATTATAATTGATCTGCTCGCCATGCACTGACAAATCATGATATTTTGCTCAACCTCGTCCAATAATTGTTAATTGTTGTTGTGGTTAGTGTTCTTTTGTTGTTTATTTGTCGCATTTTTCAGTACAAAATGAAATTTGGATTGCGAGTGTCATGTTTATACGGGTGCTAGCTGTAGTGGCATGTTTCTAACATTCAGAAGTGACCGCGCGGAGGGTAATACTTATGGTGAAAGCAATCAAGGCTGATGTCTCAACAAAAGACGTAAAAGACTCAGTGCACCCCACCCCTGGGGCTCAGTGCAGAGTAGTGTCATTGGAGGAACTTCCTATCTGACCTAACGATGGGGCCGACATGCTTCTTTTCAAGAGAACTTCACGAGATCGCAAGGAAATTTCACATGAGCCTGTGCCCTCATTGTATGAGACAGATCTTGTTAGATATTCACACCGAAAGCAATCAAGGCTGATGTCTCAACAAAAGACGTATAATACTCAGTGCATAGTGTCATCGCAGGAACGTTCGATCTGACCTAACGATGGGGATGACATACTTCTTTTCAAGAGACTTTCACGAGATCGTTGCGAAGTTCCATATGAACCTGCACTCTCATTGCATGAGGCAGATCTTGTTAGATATTTAATCAGATTTCTGCAATTGAAGGCGTATTGTTCCTTTATCAAATCTTGTGGTGGATCAGACACATTTAGAGGATTGCATTTAACTTTCCAACTTTTCTTTGAATCTTTGGAAGATGAAGGGTGAAACATTGAAAAAGAATCACCATGTCCTTGCGACCTTTGAGGGTGGTCTGTCGCAACAACTGTTAAAATGGACGAGGGATTCTGCGATTGCGGAGGGTGCAGAGTGTCATCGCAGAAACCTTTGATCTGAACTAACGATGCAGGGGCACCCAACGACGGTTTCTTCCTAAATGCATTGAAAACACTTTTTAGGGTATCCAGAGAGCTTTTAGATCTCTAGAAATGCATTTTAAGCAGCGCTATAAGATTTGTATCTGTTCGGTCATCCTAGGGCAACTTGAGTCCTTTCGAAATTGCTAGGGCTTCAGTACTATTTTCCCGAAAATTTTAGATGCAATTTAACGTTTTACGAAAGTAAGAATTGTTCTCATTCCTCTCTCCATCACATTTTCAAATCCGAAAATTTTAGGATTCCTTTATCTACGAAAAATAGCTTAACCTGGGGAGTGAAATGCGAAAAATTAAACTTAAGAAAATCGTAGGGAATTTATAAGATAAGGTTCGAAAATTGTACACGAATGGAAAAGTCATCTAGAAATTTTTAGCCTTCCTCAAGCTATAGAAAATTCTAGGCAATTTTCACTTCCCCGAACAGATATTTTACAGAAAACAGTCGATGGGTGCCCCTGACGATGGGGCTGACATACTTCTTTTCAAGAGACTTTCAGGAGATCGTGGCGAAGTTCCACATGAACCTGCACTCTCATTGCATGAGGCAGATCTTGTTAGATATTTACTCAGATTTCTGCGACTAAACGCGTATTTTTCCTTTATCAAATCTTGTGGTGGATCAGACACATTTAAAACATTGCATTTAACTTTCCAACTTTTCTTTGAATCTTTGGAAGATGAAGGATGAAACATTGAAAAAGAGTCACTGTGTCCTTGCGACCTTTGAGGGTGGGCTGTTGCACCAACTGTTAAAATGGCCGAGGGATTCTGCGATTGCGGAGGGTTGCTGCGTAATCTCATTATTGAAGGAGCTGATACAGGTCCTTTCTTCATTGCACCAACTTGGCCGGGACCAACTTTTGTCTTAGCAGCAGGGGGATTTCTAATGCATAAAACCTCGAGAACGATGTTTCTAAAGCGACGGTTTCTGTAGCAGTAAAGAAGTGGATTCACTATAGAGTTCATTTGCAGTAGAGTCTCTGTTGACCGAAAGACGTAATGGTTGCGAAGGACTGGGTACAATTCTCCCAACAAGCCAACAGTTACCAAGGGAACAAAGGAAAGAATAACAGCTGTCGAAACCAATGCACACGTGATAGCAACTCTGTTTTCCAGTTTTGCTTTTACCAGAAAAGTTATTTGGGTGATGTGTGTTAGTTTACGTTTGCGCGTTTCACGATAAACCATGATGTAAAAGTAGGGGATGAGAATTAACGCGAAAAATGCAGCAATAGCCTCAATGATAAAATCATGGTTGATTTCCAGGGCTGTTAGCACAATGCCTGGAATACTTGTTAACGCGGCTAAGAACCAAGCTGTTTTTGCGAGTTTCTTGAGGCGACGTTTTGTCATTTTAGCTTTGTACTCAAAACATTTTCCTATTGCCTGGTATCTCTCCCAAGCGATCAAGGTTAAATGATAAAGAGAACAACCCGTAAAAGCGAACATCAAGTAAACATTAACCAAGTCTACCTGACAAATGGCATTGTTAAAAACTTGCCGGGAAATGACAAATTCAACAAGGGCTGATAAAGGCATGTTTATAGCACCTACCAAAATGTCCGCGACAGCAATGCTAGACAACAAAATGTACGAGTTTTTTTGCAGTTCCTTTCTTGATTTCACTGCTGCGATAGTCAGAATGTTCAAAATGATTGCAGCAGGTGATGTGATAGATATGATTGCGACCAGTATCCAGGGGAAAATTTCATTAGTTGTGTCCCACACAAAGTTTGGACTTTGTGGGCAAGAAAAAACTGGCCTGTAGCTGGCCACAGATGAAGAGTTTATATTTGTTTGAGTATCATTAAACATGATACAGTAAACTGAAGCCTACTCGGTTTTGTCACTGTTTGAGGTCGGTGAAAAAGACTGAAGTCGAACCATAAAATTGCCAACGTTGCTGGGAGTTGCTAATTACGTGTACGAAGGCGTTTATTTTAATTAGTTTTGGGACAATTGGGAATTTTCTTGTATTCATTAAGTTATGAATTGTTTTTTAACAGGTAAGCTGACATTTTGCAGATGGTTGTGCGATTCATTTTTACAAGTTGAAAAAAAACTGAAGATAAGTGAAAAGAATAACAGTCTTATCGTGGACAAAAGCGAATCATAATTCCTGCCTATTGTGGAATATATTTAAAAAATTTGTTTGGCTTAATTTTGAAATAGATCATGGTGAACCAGTCTTTAAAGATGAAAATTTGGACTTGATTTAGCTATACTTTTCCGAAAAATTGATTCAAATGT